AGATGAAGATGAAGATGAAGATGAAGATGAAGATGAAGATGAAGATGGAGATAAGGATAAAAATCATAACCCCTTAACTTTAACTCATCTTAACTTAAAAACTTACTCCACCTGAGCTCACCACACATTAATTCACCACACTTTAACTCCCCACACCTAACTTCACCACACCTCAACTCGCCACACCTTAACCCCCGCACCTAAATCCACCACACCTAAATCCACCACCCTTAATTCACCACACCTCAACTTTCTCACCACACCTTAACTCACCTCAACTCACCACACCAAAATTCACCACACCTTAATTCACCACACCTCAACTTTCTCACCATAACTTAACTCACCACACCTGAATCCACCACACCTAAATTCACCACACCGTAACTCCTACACCCAATTCCACCACACCGCAGCTCACCACACCCAATTTCACCACATGACATGATATCACTTGATGTGGCATCAAAGGCAACATCATTTAGCATAAAATGAACCAAAATAAATAAGATTTAGATAGAGGTGAAAAAAGGGATAAAAAGGAAATACAACTGAAGAGTGTGCGATGTTATATTGTGGTGTGTTATGCTTCATATGTTATGTTATTTATTCTTATGTTATGGTTATGTTATGTTATACCAAGTACTAAGCTAAACTCCCCTCCACTTAACCCATTCCAACTAATGTTATTTTAGCTCATTCAACTTACATAAACTATCCTTAATTTTATCGGTTGAATTTCAACCGCTGGGCGAACACTAGTTTAAATAAATTGACACTGAATTAATAAACGTGCTAAGCAGCAGCTAAGGAATAAGATTTATGTAGATTAAGATTCATTCATACAAGAAAAAAAGTAAAGTTGAAGATGTTGAAGAAGAATGAGAAAAGGATACAGATAAAGATTAAAATAAAAGTAAAAAAGACCTAAAGATAAAAACAAAGATGACAAAGTAAATTTAAGTGCTTAATATAACGCCAAAGGTGAATTGAATATGTACATAGATAAAGAAAAAGATCAGGATAAAGGTAAATAAAAGATAAATTTATATTTAAAGAGAAACATGAAAATAAAAAATAATAAAAAAACGATGAAGGTAAAGATAGAGATAAAGATAGAGGCAAAGAAGAAAATAAAACCACAGAATGAGAAAAGTTATATTATGTTATGTTATGTTAAGTTATGTTAGGGAGGCAAAGATAGAGATCGACACAAAGATAGAGACAAAGAAGAAGATAAAACCACAGAATGAGAAAGGTTATACTATGTTATATTTTGTTATGTTACGTTATGTTTTGTTATGTTATGTTATGTTTTATTATGTTGTTATTTTATACTATGTTATGTTATGTTAAGTTATACTTTGTCATGTTATATTATGTTATGTTGCTCAACGAATTTCACCTGAACTCACCACCACCTTATCTCCCCTAAACTAACCTCACATCCACGGTCGCCACTTCATCAAAATTGTGTGTACCACAATATCCAAGTAAAAAGGCCCAAAATAAAATAAAATGTACCATCTTTTTCCGTTCATCAAAAAATATATATACATTAACAAAAATTTCAATTCGTGTAAAAAAATAAATTCTCTCTACAATTTGCTTGCATTTGTACATATAAAGGCAGTGCCAAATGTTAGTGTTAATATAATATTCACAACTATTTTCATGAATTTTTTTTTTTCATTAATTACTTAGGTACACAGGTTTATAAAAAACAAAGTTTGTGTAAACTGAACCAAACCTCTACATCCCCATGGTATTCGACGCCCTGAATACGAATCCGAATGTCTGTTAGTCTCCATCATGTCAGGTGCGAGGTCATTTGAAGGTCAAGTAGGGAAAAATTCGTTGAAAACGTGAAAATTCAATACAATTCTTCTGAATTTGACCTTGAAATGACCTTGGCATGACCCCTAGGTAACTTTAAAGGATTAAGGGACCCCCATATTCGGATTCGGCGACAACAAAAACCCATGTATATGAATTTTTATTTTTATTGAATAAATTTTTGTTTCAGAACTCGGGTTCGCACAATATGGTTTGCTTCAATATGAGGATTTTTTTTTTTTTTTTGTAAACCTGTGTTATTTATGAAAATATAGTTCATTCTATAATATAATCCATATATATGAAAGCTTCATACTTTATATAAAGTTCATAAAAAGATTAAAAAAATGTGTATCAAAATTTAAAAATTTTTATTCGGAGTTTCTAGAAAATTTGTGAGTATGCAGTTTTGTAGTCCGTTCAGTTTTAGGAAAGTGCAAGTTTCAAGTCGCTGAAAATTACCGTTGATTTTTTAGAATTTTAATTTTCTGAGGGTGTTGCGCGTTTTGTTCTAAATAAAAATAGATTTTGATTATGTGTACATAAAAACTGCTCTGAGTAGATAGTTTTTCAATAGCTCTAGAGTTCCTGAAATGGAAAATAAAGTTCTGTAAAGTTGCGTCAAAAAAACATTTCTTCAAAAAAAGTCTAGAAAGTTGAATGTTTGTTATTTTTCCCAAAAATTAAACTTTTCGACTTTTTTGAAACATGTTTTTTTCGGCGTAATTTTGCAGAGTTGTTTTTGTTCTTTTCAGGAACTCCAGGACTATTGAAAAGTTACTCAGAATAGTCCTAATTTTTATTTTTTCAAAACTAGTATCTTTTTGGACTTGCATAAGTTCGGCGTAATTTCGCAGAACCTTTTTCCTTTTCAGGAACTCCAGAGCTGCTGAAAAGCTACTCAGACCAGTTTTTATTAAATTTTTTTTTTCAAACATTAAAATTTTTCTATTTCTATTTTGTTTTTAATTTCGGCATAATTCTGCAGAACTCTAGGAATATTGAATAGCTATTGAGACAGCTTTTTTTGTCTATTTTCATCATACCGTTTGCCAACTTCACGGGCATCAACTTTCCTAATTTCATCTCAACTCAATTCAACTCCCCATAATTTAGTGGCTGGATCTCAACCGCTGGGCGAACAGTAGTTTATACAATCCCTGCAGTGAAAAGCCAAACCAGTTAGAATAAATACTAGTTCATTAACTAGTATGTGCCTACCAGTTCGACAATTTCGAAGAACTTAGGCGTTCAGCGACATCTGCCTTTGAATTGCCAAAGCCTAAAATAAAACGCCATTAATTGCTTTTCTTACAAATGTCGGCTGTGGCGTCACGTGAAGACTACTGGTTCTCGTTCTGAAATCGCAGGTTCGAGGCCGCTTGGAGGTGGTTAAGATTTTTAAAGTTAAATAAATGTAAGTAAAAATAATTTATTCAATTTATAAATAAATAACAAATTTGAAAATCTAATTGCATTGCAAGAAAACATTTAGGAAGAAATATAAAAACAAAGAAATTAAACAATTTTTTTTTTGTTAAATTTAAAAATTAAAATAAACAGCCTAAACAAAAAAATAAATTTATAAAAAATAAAAATGAAATAAATAATAGAAAATAAAAAAATTTTCCCTCCGCCAGGATTTGAATCTGGTACCTCAGGCTTACCGCGCGAGTGATTTGCTCTGTCGGCCATTGTGACTGCTGGAGCGTCGCGAGCAAAAAAGCACACTTATGCTTTACACAGGGCATGAATTGGCAGACTATCTCATCAACTGGTATGATGCTACTAGTATTTATACTAGTAGATGCTGATGCATAGCCTGATAATTGACATATCGTAGGAAATCGCAATGTTAAAAATACCAGTCGCTAACATTGAAAAAGGATAGAACGTGAACTAGTTCGGCTGAAA